GAGTCTGAACGTCTGCACTGTTGAACACAGCATTTTAGCTGCGCATAATTGGAAAGCACCGAATTTGATATTATGTTACTCAGTGTCACCTTCCACTTTACTGGAAAAGACCTTCATGTACTGCCTACTCATTTCGATTTCACATCTTTTTCTACTTTCTTGCATTTTTTTAAGGGGATCTTCTATTTTTCTATGATTACTCTTTAAGTCCTGCACTTTTTCATGTACTTGGCGTAATTTTTTTACTTTTTTGATGTTTTTTATGGAAATTCTATAATCAGTGTAATAGTATCGTTATTTCATTTTGAATAAGTGAACATACCTTTTGGGTATGATTAGTATGTGTTTGTTATATGGGTTTATATCATGATTGCGTGAAAACCAAAGTGTAGTAATGATAATGACTATAAATAACAAAAGTAACCATAGTAACATTGCCTATCTTTAAGAATAGAAACATGAGCGGATGTATTCTTATACAGTAACATTAATAAATAATACAAATATTCGTGCATTATGATTTAGTTTAAAAAGTACAATTACAGTCGGGGACAAAAACAAGTGGACAGTTACTGGAAGTAGGTAAAGATGAAGTTTAATCGAATTAACGTAACTGTTATAAACTTCAGTTTTATTAATTATATATCCTTATAGTATGTACATTATGTAGTGAACAATTGAAGTTCATCCTTACATCTTTGTGTAAATATGCTGTAGTTAACGAAACTGATAGCTATTTAGCAGCAGACAAAAGAAAGTAGACACATGCTAAAATACGTGACAAATGGAATACATATTGAAATTAATACTTGGTATTGCCACCTTTTGCTTCTATTACTGCTTCTAGACGTCGGGGAATACTTTTTATTAAATTTTCGATATAATCTTTATAAATATTTTCAAATTCAAACTGTAATTTTTTGAAAAAATCGACCTTTTTTTTTCGTTGATCCAATAGACTTTATAGAACTTTTGCGTCCAGTAAACTCCATAAATTTTCTATAGGATTCAAGTCGGGGCTCTGAGCCGGCCATTCAAGCAATTTAATATTAGAATCTTCAAAATTTTTTTAGTTTTCGTAGCAGTATGCTTGGGGTCGTTGTCTTGTTGGAAGACAAATTCGTCGTCGTAACCCATGTTTACTACTGCTTCTTCTAAATTTTCATTTAGAATATCAATATATTTGTCTAGATTCATAATTCTATCGATTTCTGCTAATGTACCAACTCCATTCTATGAAAAGCACCTCCACACCATTAATGATCCTCCGCCAAATTTAACTGTAGGTGTAATAAATGCTTTTTTATGTTTCATTTTTTTCCCTCTAAACTCGGTGCTTTTTTTTTAATTGCCGCAACTCAAATTTACTTTCGTCGCTCCAAACTATATTTTTTCAGAATGCTAGTGACATATTCAAATATTTTTTTGCAACTGCTAAACGTTTTCTCATATTAATTTTATTGATGTATGACTGGCGTCTAGCCTTGCAACATCTTAATCCAGCTTCGTGATGGCTTCGTTTTATTGTTCTTGTTGAAACTTTTAATCCTATTATTTCTGCAATACTTCTTGATGCAATTGTTTTCTTGTATGGTGGTGCAGCGTTTGCGTCCACGGCCTCTTAAATTTTTCACCGTTTTATGTAGTACAACGTACTACAACGTATTTTTAAAACGCTAAATAAATATTGTCAAACTTATATGAATAAACCATATACATAATAAGAAATACAAAAAATGAAGTTTGACGTATAGAAAAAAAATGATATCGATAGGATTCGAACCCCAGAGTAACCGCTCCCTAGGCTGACGCCTTAACCGCCACGCCAATCGGCGATGTTGTTAGGGATGCGAACATTTCTTTATATATACAACAGAATATAATTTTGTCTTTCTTTTAAATCACATTTTTTAGGTAAAATAATTACTTGTTTCAGTGTAATAACGCTAAAAATGACTTAATATATGCCTACGACAAAGCCAACAAGTGTAACTTTCCTCCTCGCAGCAAAAACGTCGAAAAATTTCAGTTTTTATTGTTTTTGACAATGAGCAGCCGAACAAAAAATTTAAAAAAAATTGACGACACTGCCTGTTATTGTACTTTATCAGGGAACCAAACAGTAGAATAGCATGTTATCATATTTTTGAGAAAAAAATGTTTTTCCGATTTTTTTGAGGTTTTTCATTGTTTATGCCCACAGTTTGCAACAAAAAAATTTGAAAAAATTCTCAAAAATGCGCCTTAGGATCCGAAATGTGTCAGATTTTTTTCAGAATTTTAGAATGCATTTGAGACCGGAAAATGCGCCGAAAGCGTAAAATCTATTTTACCCTGTAACTACCCTCACGGGCAAGCTAGAGGGTTAAAATTTTACTGAGAGGAGTTTTTCTTGGTCAGCTTTCGAATGATTCAAGAGCCATTGAAGAAGCTCTAAGGGCAGTTTTGACCATCTTAATCGGCTAGGCCTTTGCGCAAGTTTTCTCAATTGGATATCATACCTGACATGTTACTTTATATCAAGAAACTTGGTAGAGCGTGTCAGTCGGTGACTATCATCTTTGTTTTCCTTCCGATTCATCGAAAGATAACTAAAATTAATATCATATTGAAAAGGGAATTACAATAGTGAATCCAAAGATATTTTACTTTGTTCTTGTGGAAAGTTTATATTTGTAACATCTACTTTTATGGTAAAATGATTTACATATGAATCTATTGAGGATAAACTTTCTATGACACAATAAACATGTGCCATTTTTCACGATATCAAGGAGCATGAAATGCAACTTTGAACCTCTGTATATCATTAACCGATTACTATTTTTTAAAATTTCAAGCAGCATCTAATGCACTCATATGTATACAACACACGCACAATATTGGAAAAAGTGCGTTCGAAACTTCAAAAATTGCATTTTGGCCAGGTTTTTGGCCATCCGGACCACCGTGCGCCGCGGCGTGAAATGCAAACATGCAAAAGAAAGCGAAATTATTTAGCTCTCGCCCATGGTTCTTCGCCAGCTAGGCGTCTGCTAGCTAAGAATGGCGAACTGCAGGGAACGGAAAATTCGGGTATTCCATTCATCCAAATAAAAGCGACGACGCTAGGCTTTCGGGAAGCGGGAGCATAAATTCCCGCGAAAACATCAATTTCGCGGAGCGGGGCGCAAGCACGTTGTAAAGGTTTGAACGTCGTTCTATCGAGTTCTTCTCGGGTTCCCTGGTTAACGACGCTGGCGAAGAAACGTCTGCACAGTAGATACGTCTTTGTACGGCATTGCAGAGAAAAGAGCAAGTCGATGCCAACGTAGCGCAAGGGAAAGACGGTGCCCCGGGGGGGTCAGGGCACAGAGGGGTATACCAGGAGGGATGCAAGCGTGAGAGGGGGAGGCGGAACGAGACAGAGCCCCGGGTAACTTATCACTCGAGTCTGGACCAGGAATAGTCGCCATGTGGTGGCAGCCGTGGGACTGACTATTTTCGGGTAAAGACAAATTTGGCGCGATGCGCTACGAGGGAGCAAGCAAGCCTCGTGGTAGTCTCAAGTGTAAGCTTACATGTGCCGGGGGGTGTCGGCTACGATACGGAGAGGCCAATGGGATCTGTGCGGCCATTTTTAGAGGGCTCGTTGAAACAAGCGTGCTCAAAGCTTTGGCAGCATTCAGTCTGAGGCGGCCAGCCGGTTAGGAGTATTCGCTACAACTTTCCGATCGCCGAGCTAACCACGGTCTTTGATCGTTGTGTCTCGCGACCAATAATCCTCGACCTCTCGAACAACTCGGACTGTCTCGTAGCTCGGTTGCTCTTTCTCTTGCTTGTCCGCAAAATCGAACCGAACAGAAAGTGCAAGCTCTATCAGATACCCTGGGGGACCTATCGGGGCTTTCAGGACCTTCCTAAACCAAGGTCCACGAGCGGATCGCATTCGTACCGAGTCAGTGGATTACGTAATCGACCGGCTGGATCGGTAACTCGCAGCCACGGTAAGGAGTCTAACCTGCGCCGTGATATAGTGATCGTCGACGAGGATAGATTGGAATCGTGGAAGATGATTCCCTCGCGGAAGACCATCTTCCTAAGCCGGGCGACTGTTCCGTGCTTCCTTACTTCCCATAGTGATTGCGACGTATGGAATGTAAAGAAGTATGGAGCTGCGCTCAGGTGTCTCGTCCAATGATGGAACTCGTCGTTCAACGTGAAACACGACCGACAAGGTTGCGCGACCACATGTTTCTCCGTGATCGAGGATTCTGGGACAACGAAACCCTCTGGGAAGTATAGTCGACGCCGACGGTACGAATATAGTGATTTTATTAAGTTAGTTTCGAGTGGTCGATCCGATAGTCCGCTGAATAGCTTTCTCCCTGCGCGTTGGACGCTTACTGTCTGCTACGTCTGTTCGTTTTGGGACGTGTAGAGGTCTTATACCGTTCACTGGAGAGTTTTGCTATGGCAGGGTTCCGTCGAGGCAACTTCGAACATGAAAGCCCTTCCTCTCGGTGCGCAGGAGGTTCTTCTTCCCGATATAAGCTCTCCAAAGTAAAACTTTCGAGTGGACGCGATGTCCTAAAGTTGTAGCTCTAGACGGAACCCCGAATCACTGTGATCGTCTCAGCGCTTCGCATTTGTATCGTTTCCTGGGATCATTTCAAACGTTTAACTTACTTCCCATCGAAATTTGATCTTTTAATGAAAGAAAAGTGCGCGAACGTCGAAGGTTATCGAAGAAGAGGCTGTTACAACGAGAAAAGGATTGCGTTGGTCGGCCATGGCCTGGGACTGGCAGCTAAAGGCCAGAAATAGACCCAATTCCACGTATTCCGTAACGCGGCACCGAACATCATTCTACGTCCATGTGGCCTCTCGTGTTCTCTATTTACGGGCTTGCCCTGACTGCCATGTGGTCGCCAGCTTTATTTAAATCGGTAAAATATTTCGAGCCGTTCCCAGGCCTCGTTCCGCTCTCCCGCCGAGCCGCGATCCGTAAGCTAGAAATTTTCTTCTTGCAGATGTCGACGATGCCGAGAGTGAAACGAGGAAAAAGTGCTCTGAAAAAGAAAGGACAGCAAACGCTAACCATCCACCGTAATAACCGTAAGTATCGAGAAAAGGTATACCTAAATTACTGATTACGAAATGTAGGAGATTCAGCTTTCATTCTAAGTTTTTTTAACCGACTTCAAAAAGTCGGAGGTTACTTACTTCGAAATGTATATTTTTTTCACCGATTAATTCTATTGTAATGGAATCTAAGGAATTCTTAAAAATCCACTTTGAGAACGATTTACAAAATTATGATTTCTTATAGAAATGTAGCGTGCAGCTCTACAAAGGCTAATTTTATTACGGAGTTCGAACGAGTGCATGGTCTGGGTGGACAAAAATAGGATGTACGTACGGTCGCCACCATATTTCCATAAATGAGTTCTCCAATTACAGGGTCTATTTCCGGTCCGGGGCTGGCAACCGGAGTCACAGCCAATTAGAAACGGCCGTGAGACGGCACACGAAGACATCGAAGGACTTTTCGACGCAGGGTCCGTCGCGTGATCATTTTCGATCATCGCTGCAGCTAGATTTACATGCGGAAAACCAGGAACGTCGCGTGGAACATTGTTTCTGTGATTAAATTTGGAGATTTTTGGCAAGCTATAGTGAGGATCTGTGACGTAATCAATTTAGAATACAAGGCAGCGGAGGGCTACGTTTTATTCTATTGTATTAGCCATAGAAATTATTAGGTGTACTGGAAGTAATGTCGTTTGTGCAATTTTAAATACTCGTTTATCACTCATCAGCTCATTGATTTTTATCGATATGCCGTTGAAAATTTGCACACTAAATGGCAAAAGGCTGTTAATAGGCGATTACATAATTGATTAAAAATAGAAATTTATTAAAAATTTGTTTGAATTTAATGTAAAAGAAACGACATTACTTTCTAGTCTACCTAATAATTCTATGCCTTTCTTGGTTAAACTTACTATTTATGAAGAAGAATTATGCAACTTTTAATTTTCTCTCAGCTATACATTCTAAGAGAACATGTGTACTCAAAAAATGCAATAGCGAAGTAATATTTCATTATTGTATTGGAGATTTTATGTATTTATAATCCAAGCGAGTATGACAAATATATGGTAAACATAATCAAAAGTTATATGCATTTATCCAAATCGAGATATTAACGCTAAACCTACCACGACCGATAAAATTATTATTTTCAAACTATTGTGTACAATTCTTATATACAATTGTTTGATGTATCATTGAATTTAGTAACACGTGAAATAGTGTTGCATTAAATTGGAAAGAATATCTTTCAGACCAATCATTTGCGCAATCGCGATAGAAATAGGTGCAATGGAATATTGGTAGGTTTAGTGTTAATATTATTATATTAACTAATAGAATTTATTCTACATACATTATGTATATTTTTTTGTACGTTTTCCATATAACTGTATGCCATCGTTTTGGGGCAATTCTAAGTGTAAATTATAGAAGTGATTTGGATTCAACGTTTAAAACATGCAGGTTAGATAGTGAATATATCACTGTATAAGAAGTCACTTCTTTGCATGCAAAGATCGAAACTGCGAGCTCATTTCCACCCATAAAATGGAATTATCAGCCAAAGAATTTTAACTATTTCAAATAGAAATTTACTTTTATTTTATCTCTCGAAGATTTATTTCTAAGGAGGAAATTGAATTACAAATACATAAATGTAATGTATTTTAAGGACGAGGATCTTAATTAATTATGGTACAATTTTCATTCTTATTACAATTAGAGATTAGGAGTAACAATTGCAGTCATATTCTGAGTGTGGTTTTAAATAAAAAGCCTAAGACTTTAAATGAAGAATGTTTATCGAGACATGTATTATAGAAACATCCTAATTTTAATTGTGCAAAAATTATAAACGTTTTGTATATTGATACCATATTTTTTATACGTTTTTCCTTAAATACCATCAATGTATGTATTAATGATTAGCAGTTAAAATTTATTTATCAATGTAAAATAGATTAAATTAAAATAGATTTATAGTGATATAGTTTAATTAATAATAAATATAGTAATATAGTTTAACTAGATACATTATAATAGCAAGGTTCTATACATTTTTATGCTTTGTATTACTGTAAAATGTTACAAGTTTAATTTGTATTTAACTTTTCTGGTGTTATTGTTTTGATATTGCTCTGTTTGCAATAAAATCGTGTGCAAGAATAGTAGAAAACTTAATATCAGTATAAGTTGATAACAAAAATATTAAAATTCTTTTCTAAAATGCAGCAGGTACAAATTGAGGTACAAATTAACATAATTCTGAAATAGTGTAATTACATAAACTAAAATTCTATATTTGTACAAACTGTTCAAAGTAAATATCACGAAGTACATTAGTTTGAATAAGTTTATGTAATAATGTCAATATTTACTTTAACTATTTATTAATTTATAGAGTAAATTAACATTAAACAAATTATATTCCGTATTTAAACTGTTGATTACTCATGTTGGTTAATTATGTACTATTTATGTATATAAAATAATGTTAAAATTTAGATAATAATTGAGGAAAATTCATAGATCATTGTCTCTAAATACTTGAATTTAGAAAATTTCACAATTTCGGATTTAAGACATGCATATTCTTAGTAATTTCATTAGTACGAGCAATTTAATGAAACATTTAATGAAAGCTTTCGCTTTTATCGTATCCATGGTTGTATGCAGTTCACTCGAGGACCACAACATAGCGCCGATAATAAAATAAAATATGACGATTTGGTACATACAAAATTATTGTAGACCTATTTGAAACTTTCAAATTTAAAGTAACAATTCAGTTTAGCGTGTTCCGAAAATTTGTCAGAATTTCATTAATTTTTTACAAATCTTAAACGTTTACTTTTCAGTTATTTAGAAAAATATTCTATATAAATATAAATTTATATGTGTAGCGAGTGAATGTTGAAATGAGTGCGAAATGCGCGCCGAATGAATGTGAACGAATGAGATCGAGCGACAGGTGACAAGCACGAATGATTGGCTAATGTACAGAGTGATAGGTGTGAAAATGTGTGTGTTTGAGGATACATGTACGGGCACCGAAAAGGAACGAGTCAGATGAATTGTTCGAGTCGAAAAATAAACATCTTTGAAAGTAGTTCCGACATATGTATGAGATTTACCATGTCAAACATTTATCTGTAATTAGAATTTTTATCTTCTTTTTCTCCAATGAGCATATTACTATGGTGAATAATACATTGAAAATTTGACTTTGCTTAAAAAGTAAGTTCACATCGTAATATTAAAGATCAACAAATTTCAACAAAGAAATGACTGAAGTGGAACGAGTATTTTTTAATAATATTACATGGACCCAGACAAAAATCTCTTATGGAACGTTTTGAATAAAAAATGTTGCTCAAGGCAAATTGCTGTAAAGATTTCTTACAATAATTTTTCATTATTTCAAATGAATTGATATTATTTACTTTCAAGTAATAGTATTGAAAACATGAAATCGAAATAAATTATTTCAAATAGTCGTTTCTTATCTCCATTTCAAATAAATTTGTCTAAATTTGGTGCTATTTTGTTCTTTATTATATAAAAATTCTCTTATCTCTGAACACTGCTGTCCTCCTAAGTAATTTACATAACGGAGATCCTACTATACTCAAAACTAGGTTCGTATCTACAACTAGCACTGTACTCAATGGAGTTCCCCAGCAAGAAAACAAGTGTAAAAATGTTTGTTTCGACTTTGATTCTTTTTTTCATTTATTTCATTCCTAATATCGAATATTCCCAACGGATCGAGGCTCCGTTAAAATTCTCGTTCTTCCGTTCCAGAAAGGATTTAATAGAATTTATCAGTTTTTGTGTTTCAGTCTGGTTATAAAGAAACCGTTCCATTTTTGCAATTCACAGCGCAAAATTACGTGCTCTGCGAGACGCTTGACACGCGAGGAATGCAAAGCATTTTCTTAAGAATTCGATGAGTGTGACTGAGAACTTCCACCCAAGGGATCGAATGAAATTCATCAATTCGTTCTACGGAAGAGCCGGTTGCTTGTGAAAGAAATGGAGAAAGGATCCAGAAGTGGATGGGGATGGAGGGAGGGGTTGGGGGTACGGTATAAAACGGTGTTGAACGTTAATAATTTACCATTCAGAAATACAATGGAGCTTATTCGTACTAATAGGGAGAAAAAAGTGGTTGGATAAGGGATTTTTAGTATAATACAATGCGATAAAAAACTTCAAAAATGTAACAAAATTACACCAAGTACATGAAAAAGTGGAGGACTTAAGGAGTTATCATTGAAAAATAGAAGATCCCCATAAAAAATTACAAGAAAATAAAAAAAGATGTGAAATCGAAATAAGCAGCCAGATGATTTGCCTAGATTTCCGCGGCCTGGAAGTCAAATGCTTGGCGTGGCCAGGCAAGGCACTCTTAGATCATCAATACCCATACTTTCTCTCTCACAGACTTTCAGATAATTTGTCAATTTAAAACTCTGACAATATTATGAGTACACTTCCATTATTTTGCGTTTTAAAATAATTCTTATTCATCGACACCTTGGTCTTGCTTGGCCACGCCAAGCATTTGCCTTCTAGGCTGCGAAAATCTAGGCAAATCATCTGGCAGCTCATTTCGATTTCACATCTTTTTCCAATTTCTTGTAGTTTTTTATGGGGATCTTCTATTTTTCAATGATAACTCCTTGAGTCCTCCACTTTTTCATGTAGTTGGCGTAATTTTGTTACTTTTTTGAAGTTTTTTATCGGATCTCACTTCTTTTTACAAATCATTTATTATATAGAATCTATTTTAAATTTATAAAAATAAAATTGAAATTTCTGTAAACTCTACATAAGAAGTCTAAATTATTATTTGTTTTTTTTTAATTGGATAGAGTAAAATAAAGGGAGAGGGTATAACAAAAGCGAATATATATATATGGGGATATATTTATATAAAATAGCAAAAAAATAGCAAAAAAAAAATAGCATATATATATAATTATTTATAAATTGAACGAATAAGTGTTTATAATTAATAAATTATATGAAATATATAAATATATATATATATATATATGCAATTTTTTTTTTGCTGCAAGAAATTTTAATGTTAATGATGAAATGAGAATATGACTCCATTTCTATAAGCTCTACATAAAAAGTCTAAATTAAAAACAGTATGATGGTATGGATCTATATTAAAAACAGTTTTCTGTATGAACAAAGGTAACTGGTAATTCAGATTTTGACAACTTACCTTGTAATCAAAATTGATCTACAGTTTACTTCACTGGCAGCAATTTGTTATTAAACCCTACATAAAAAGTCTAAATTGAAAACATTTTGCTGATATAAATATAATTAATAATGCAATATAATTAATAATGCAATAGTGTAAAAACTTTTGACACTTGGCAGGATATGAATGATGACATCTGTTTCGACTCTCGACACTCGATGGCCGATGAGCCATGCCGAACCGAATGATTCTAAGAGTCGACGAACGACACTCGGCTTTTGCTTAGTTCCTATTGGCTAAGGGTTGACGACGGGAAAATCATATGAAAAATACCGTTTCTGACAGATTCATGACATGATATTACGATATCTCAGTTGTACGTGGACCGATTTTATTGATTTTGGTTTTATTCGAAAGCTTATGTGCGATTTGCATCAGAAAAATGCCTTTAGATTTAGAAAATATTGCAGGCGTGTTGAGATATTTATAAAAGAAGTTTCAGGTTAGGCTGGAATGGACCATCTCTCCTGTAAAAGATACGTGGTAGCTCCAACACCAGTATATACGCGGTGACGGATAATTTTTCATGTACTTGGCGCCGTGTCTAGATAATCACTTGAATATGTAGGCTATTCTCTTGTTCTCATTATATTTCGATATTTGGCCAACGATTCAATCGAATATTCACTATGATGATCTTTCAAGTCCTTTAAATTCAACTTGATTTATTCGTATGGAAACCAAGATGTATATACCAGACATTGTATTAGGTTGTCCCAAAAGTTTCTTTCGTTTTATTAATAATTAATTCATACACAATATTTTATGTCGTATGTTACATTACAAAATTGTGTACAAT